ATCATGGCAAGGGACTCTCCGTCAGGGACCCCTAGATTCCCCGCTGTTGGGGAATTTCCAGCGTCGGGGAAGGATAAAATCTCGAGGACCGATAGAGCAATTCAGGTTATGTTTTAATAAGCTTTTAAATGTTTAGGGATTCAAAACAGTCTAGTGTGTGCAGTGCTCGGTATGTGCGAGGTGTTTCGATCGGATGGGTTGCAGTGGTCGCGCCAGCTCTTATCCGACAGGGGAGCTAATACCTCCTACAGGGGGTTAGTACACACAACGGGTAAACTATTAACTTTGTATAGTTTTCTATCAAAATTATGCTTTTTAAATAAATAATGCCATTAGTGACACAACATTGTATTATTTTTTTCAGTAAAGAATGAACATACGGTAGTAATGATTTGCTGGTGAGGGGTGGGGTGGGGAGTCGCAAGGCTTCCATGACTATTCGGTCCTAACGCTCGGACCTTGTCGGAAAATGTTTGGCGCCGTCAGTGTAAAAATGACTCCAGTAAAAATGGCCCTGCTAGGTTAGTTATTAGGCCTATAAGGTTGAAATGGTATTGCTAAACCACACAAACATCCAAAAACCATGTAATTGTGATTGACTCACTTGGTATATCAAAAAGAAAATTTAAAAAATTCATATGAACTTTTTTTTTTGTTAGTATGTTGATTTTTTTTTTCCTTTTTGTGAAAATAGCCTACCTGCAAATACACCCCACATCTTCAAAAACAGACTGCGATTCCCATTTAAACTCCTATGGTTGTAGGACTCTCTTTTTGTATCATTAAAAATATTATTAATTTGATGTTTATAACAAATTCTGGAAATTGTGATTCCGCTTCCGTTAAATTGACCACAACTAAATTATTTTTGTATTAAAAAATGCATGATTTATGTTTATTTATTGATTACATTATTGCTATTTTTCAACATTAAATGGAAAATAAAATAAACATTAAAAAATGTTATTTATGAGTTTTTTTTTTATCTGTGGATATTTAATTCCTGCCAAAAGTAAAATATAAATGGAAATTTATTTGATGTTAGAATCCTTTTAAACATTAAATTATTTCAGTTTTAACAAATAAATAAGTAAATAAATAAAAAATAAATAATAAAAAAAAAAGTTTTGATAAAGAATGTTATAAATTGCAGGCCATTTTTACCTACCTGTCATTTGGGGCCATTATTACCGAGGCCACCATGACCGTTTTAACCTACCCTTTGCTGATAATGCTCTTATATTGGCTTACAATATTCCATTATGACAAAGACTGACTACAGTCTATCTTTCTACTCGGTGAATAATATTACCACATTTTCACATCCTACTAATGCTATGTTGTGCACTTGTCACAAGTTGCTACTATACAAATTATATTCATATTATTTGTGTAAAGTAGTACTGTAAAATAACACGGCATTTCAATTCATCTTGTGACATTACAAAATCATTTATTTTTGTGTAAGATCCACTGGATATAACATTCTACTCAGGATCACCACACAGTTCAAATGTCCGTGGATACGCGCTTAAAGACAGCAAAACAACAGATTTATCAATCGGTATATTAAACAAGAATAACAAGGAGAATGTAACCTGGACTGATACTGGACATTCAGATGGCAACACAGGGAGTGATATAAGAAGAAACATGCCAGGAAATAAAATATTTGACACACCAAGCAATATAGCATTTAGAATACATAACGATTTTATTTATCTCGGTGTTCGAAATTTACAAAGCTCTCAAACAGTCGGCGTGTTTTCATTTGAAGCTACTAAGTCTGCAGTGGTAACCAGGTCGGCAATTGTTGTGACGTCAGCATCAGGTGAGTACATAGTGGCTCTTATCATTTTACAGCAATTTTATATGAATATTTAAATTTATATATTTAGATTGTTTAAAGGTGTCAATTAAAAATCTTGCTTCGCTTTTGAAATAATTATAGGTCTATGTAATAAACATCTATGGTGGTGGCGTGTTTTGTCTAAACACTAAATGTAGCCGCCGTGGATTGAAACGTATATATTTTAGTTAGACTGTATTGTTTTACACTGTAGACACGACGACAACCATTTAAGAACGTTGGTAAACTAGATTAGCGATTGTATATTTTATAGGCGCCTACTACACAGAGACACACTAATGATTTACTGTAGTTATTGATTCTATTCAAAACATTGGTTTCAACGAAATATAATCTCGAAACGTACGCCGGCTGGCAGGGCGTAGTACTTGCTTTTTTATCTTGGCAGTACTTTGACGTACTGTAGTCCTTATTGTTTAGGCTTGAAAAAAAGCAAAATTAGACTGAAATAAACATTATATTTTTGATAAAAGTTGTATTTTAGAATAAGGTGACTACTGTATAAAAATATCAGGTGATTGGTATTTCCGGGATTGTGTAGATATAGCATTTTAATACAAGTATCTAGATTTGAGGAAGACACTCATTCACTTGATAATTTTCGTGAGTGTCGAAACGATATGTCAGTCCCTATTATATTTTCCATACTTCTTTGCAAATCGCTTAAATTTACGCTTGACTTAACGCTGAACTTTACGCTTAACTTTTGTGTTTTGTTTGTGCCCGTATGTTAGCAGTAAACGCGGATATTGTGTTATGTTTGTTTTGAAGAAGTGTAAATAAAGTACTGTAGAGTTAGCGCTTAATTCGAATTTTTATGTTTCTCTTGTTTATTTTCGCACCAACATCATTTGCGAAGAATCAGTGAATCAAATTGAACATTGTTAATCGTTAATGTTCTAAACGATGTCGCACCAAGACGAAGAGGTATAGAGTGTCAAAATCAGAATATCGAAATATCTGTTCCAAGCAAGGGCAGATAAGGCGAAGAAAGAATTTGTGAGTAAAAATTTCGAATTAGATAAAAAAGGAAATGGAGACTAAACTGCACGTAAGGTTTTAGAAGCGGAAGCAAAATTTTGCCATGGCAGAAGCTAGCGGTATGATTTGGGATAATGAATCCAACTGTTCTTATGGTAACGAAAATGATAATGTGCTGAGTAATCTACCACCTATTGATGCGACTAGGAAAACTGCCGAATTCATCATGCAATACACGCCAAACGAAGAATTATGTGACAATGGTCAAGAATAGCCAGAGGCATTGACGTATCCGGGGTCAGGGGGAGATTTGGGAGCCGCGGCTCCCCCCCCCCCCTTTTTTTTTATACACAGTGTTAAAATTTTAAAGCCTATTCTTGAGCCAATACAAATTGTTTCCTGAGATCACTCAAAAAGTATACTTCTAAAACATGTAAATATGCATCAGTACACGTTATACATAGGCCTAATAGAACACATAGGCCTAAGTGTGATTAAACAAAATCTTAAATCCATAAATCTCAGGCCAGGTCTTTTAAGATAGAAATGCGATACTGTGGTTCAAATTCGTTTTTATCCTTTTCGAAGTTTCTTTAAATTTTTGTTTAATAATACTACTACTAATGATAGTAATGATAGTAGTAATAATAATAATAATACTAATAGTAACAATGATGAGGATGATGATGATGATGATGATAGTAATAATTGATAATAATATTAATAGCAATAAAAATAAAGAAAATTGTGCTAAATGCGAAAAAAAATTGTGATTTGTTAATTATAATATAGTATATATAGTTAAAGCTTAGTAAGCTATAGTTAGGCCTAAGTTGTCCTGGATATTAAGTAGATCCCTGATAAAAGATCATGAGAAATTTGTAGG